GACAGTTTACTACCTTTTAAGTGGATATGAAAGCATAAAATGGAACAGAAAAACATGACCACAATAATAAAAAATAGAATAGTTAATTGTGTACTCCTGCAAAGGACACAGTTTACATGAAAGGCTCCACCAGAAAAGATGATAAAGAGAAAGCATAAGCTAAGGCACCTTGTGTAGAATAATAAATTAGGTAGTGACTTAATATTATGCTACTATATGAAAATTGGAAGCTTCTGTCATACCCTCAAAAATAGGGGACAATGATAGCCTAAAATACATTTTGTTTAGATTACAATGAAAAATACTACATGGTACCAAAGTTTTAAATATCGATTATTGGGGATTAATCGGACAGTCAAAATCCATATTGGATAGCGGATATCGGGGATAAGTAGTATTTATCAGAGTGTCATATCGGATGGTGTGCATACATAAGATAACATCCTACATGTAATCTAAGCATACTTAATGAAATATAAATATAACAAAATGTAAATAACAGTTAAAAACCATGACGAAAGCAGCGTCAGTAGACTTGAAAAAGTTGAAGCTCGAGGAGAAACAAGTGAGGGAATAAGAATAGAGGTGGGGCGAAGAGGAGGGGAGAAAGAACAGAGGAGGGAATCTAGGTTGATGGAGAGTAAAGAGCGGAGTGAGTCGAAGTCGATTTGGGGTTATAGGGAACAACCGTACAAAGGGGGAGAAATTAAGGAGGAGAGGTATTAGGGCTAAATGAATTGGGAAAGGATTAGGGTCGGGTTTTAGTGTTTGGGTGAATCAGGTAGGGTTTAAAAAGTGTATTAGTTATGTGCCCGTTGCCAAAATCCAAACCTATACCAAACATAACTTTAAAGATATTTTCAATTTTTTGTACCAATAAACTAGGCTAATATATCACTTTATCGCTGCTTTATCACCGATAAACAGACCAAAACGATAACCGATTTAAAATTGAACTTATCCTAACGGAAGGGGTCCAAATCGGATAACTCTGCGATAAATCGATATCATCGGCCGATACTTATAACGTTGCATGGTACATATAAGGAAAATTATAACTTTTTAAAACCGAAAATAAAAGAGAGGAATTCTTGAGAAGAGTTGTTTAAACTTTAAAGTTTAAACACAGGTTCCTTTGTGTGCTTCTTAACTCCTTTCTCTTAATAGAAATCTAGTACCAGTTCTCTATAGTTAGCAGATTATCCTATTACTCCATGGTGTGCCTTTTATCCGTTCCCCTCTCCAATCCCCCACACCTTCTATGTTGTGAAAATACAAATACCAACATCAGATATATTTTAAAGGTGTGAAACATCATTTGTCTCCTTTAATGTGAGTTTTATGAGCTCAACTTCACTAGTAGTAGATACCCTTCTAGAAGCACATGACCAACATTTGAGTGACTTATCTCCTGTAGATTGGCTATGAAAGGTTCCATCTCTAGCCAACCTACAGGCTTCGAAGCTACAAGTTTCCTCCTTCCTCCCATTTTAAATGCATAGCATAGCCTTGTTGTAATGGCAACCATCTCCATCCTTAGTCTTTGGTTCACATTATCTCCTATTAAAATCCAAATAGCAGTCACCAATCAATAGTCAAAATCCAAATAGCAAGTCAACCCCAAAATCAAACTAAAACCTAAACTAAACCTATCGACCCAACCCGTTTGTTTGTATTAAACTTAAAAAAAAATTCTCCAATAGGCCGCCCCCTCTTTCTTCCACCTCCCAAAATCCTACCCCAAATTTGATCACTCTTCTCCCTCTTTCACCTGATCGTTGCCTCTTTCTTCCCTATTGTCACCTCTTTCTTTGTCACCTCTTTCACCTGCCACCACTTTTTTTTGTCTTGTCTATCTTTGCGCCTCATACATCTCACTGCGACACTGCCAAAGCATCGGAGGCTTGGATCTAACATCATGACAGAAAAATATCAGTAAAAATACTATTTATTGTTTGACATATATTGTTCCTGTATTCATTGTCTGTTGAGTAGGATACAAGTTTCCTAATTTTCTATGGCATTGTGACTAGTACCTCATATCATTTCTGCTCAATACGTGTGCTAACAGCAATTTCACTTCCATTTCCAATAGATAGGTCAGCTTGGTCAAATGTCATGTAGCCTGAAATAAAGGGGGTTTAAGTATGGATAATCTTCTGTAACCCATTTATTAAATGGGCAAGGCTGCACCACTTTTTTATCGGCCCGAATATTGCCTGACCCTACATGAGTTGCCACCTCTAGTAGTAGTAGCAACAGCAAAAAATACAAGAAGCAAATGGAGATGAACAAGGAATAAAAGATGATTATTTAGATCAACAAAAGTCCCTCTGGATGAGTTTGAAGCATGAACGCTTCCTGTTTGAACATTTTATCTTGGCTTCATTTCAGACAGACAATACTATACTGGAGTATAGTTTCAATCACAAGAGAACAAAACATATTCCACATAACTTAAGAATATTCTTCCTCAATAAACAATCACCAAGGGAAAAGGGGAGAAGAAACACGAACCAAGGGACATATTTGCTAGTAAAGCCGTCCTCGTTTCGGACTTTGATGAAAGAATCAGGGACTTTCTTGCTGAGTTCCTTCAAGATCTCAGACAAAGGCTTGCATATTCCCGATGTTGGGATCTCCTCTTCTTCCTCAGCACCTGAGCTCTCTGATGGAGGATGAGGAGGGATGTCACGTGACTTGGAAGACGGGAAGGGCTTCGCTGCAAACGAACGACAGAACGGCGACCTACGCGTAATTTGTGACCGAGAGAGGAGGGATATTCTTGAGAGCAGTAGCTTTCGCGCAGTGGCGGCCATTTTTTTTCGAGGGTTTTGGTCGGATCTCCGAAGAGGGAGAAAGATTTTAATTTGGGGTTTTTGGAGTGGGTCGAATCCTATCGGAGGGGGAGGAGGTGGACTCGGGTCCGTTTTCACTAAAACCGTTTGCGATTGTTGCTTTGCGATGGAGCAACCAGGAGGCTGATTGGTTTATTGCAAAAAATTAAGGGAAAAATGCCTATAGCCCCCAAAACGCGTCAGAACGTGCCCCACCTAATATTTTTTCAATGGTCATTTTCCCCCCAAAAAACACCGCGATTTTTCCCTTAGCCCCCAAAACAAGCCCTCACGTGAAACGTCGTTTAAAACTCACACGAACTGCCCAAAATACCCTTCGATTTAACTGCCTACCGTTAACCTACCATACCTCGTTGTTTGTACCATTTCATCTATCTTCTGTCCAAGCGAACCATCTCCATTAACCCATTTCAAAACTCTAGCCTTAAATCAACCGACTCCCAACCAAACTGATTCCAAAGCACAGGGATAAAAAATGGCCAGCGATTCAACCTCCAAAGTTTGCCTCAATGCCGACCACAGCGAAGACGAAGACGCGTCGACGAAGACGCGTTGACAAAGATGCGTCGCAGTTCGTCGTCTCAAAAAGAGCCTAGACAACAGCAAAGTGGACTGATGTTGGAGCTACGATTGATAATGTTTTAGAGGACATCGCAGCCAGCCACTCTCGTCCCAGAAGTCCAACTCAAACGAAAAGTTTAGTCCCCCGCCCAGATCTAGAGAGCAGCACCGGCACCACCGGCGCCACCGACGATGTCACTAGAGCGTTCCTTGATCTACAGAGAGGAGATAAAAAGAATCTTATGGCAACAAAAAAGTGATTTTTATCGCAAATTTTATGTTGTTTATCATGTTGCATGATGTGTTAATTGTGAAGGATACTGATAAGTTGTGAAGGTTATGATGCGGCAAAACATGTACCAAAAAGGTTGCAAGTGCACAACCGTGTCAAGTTATAGTATTTAAGATATCGATCCCACGAGGAAGGTGATTTTATAGGAGAAAATATGAATTCGGTTCTTATGTTGTGTGCGTGACAAATAGGAGTGATGAGTGAATGTGATTGTGAAGAGATTGAGATAGTGAAAATGATAGTGTGTAAATCGGCACGAGATATAAGTGAGAGTGGATGTGACAAAGAATGAATATATATGATCAATAAGGCAAGAAGGAAAAAGAAAATAAAAATCAAGAATAAAGAAAATAAAATTCAAGAATAAAAGAAAATGCAAGAAATTAAAGATGGTGGATTCAATTATAGATATGGGTAATCTACAATTAAACCCACTTCTTAGAAAATGGTGATTCCCTAGAGGGTTCTAGCCTAAAGGCGAATCAAACAAAATAAAAATAAACAAAAAGAAAAACTAAACCCAAGAGGGTTCTAGCCTCAAGGTGAATAGTATAAGAAATTAAAATCTAACTACAAAATAAAGTGCAAAATCTAAACTACAAAATAAAATTGCAAGAATTAAATGTAAGAAAATAAATCTATTCTATAAGCATGAAATAAATCTAAGGCAAGAGGGTTCTAGCCTCTTGGCTATTTAACAAGAAAATAAAATCTAAACTACAAGCATAGAAATAAATCTACACTAATAAGCAATAAAAGAGAAAAAGAAAAGAAATGCAAACCTTCAAATAATTCTCCATCTTCATCTTCATCTTCATCATCCAATAAAGAGAAGAAGAGAAAAATTTAAAGTGGTGAAAAAATTATTATTATTAATTGCAACTAAAGTTACAATTTTGGAAGGCCTTCTCAATTAAGAGTAGTCCTCCTCTCCAAAAGGAGTTACAAAAATTTTCACACCTCTAACCCCTCACTCTCTACCCCTATTTATAGTAATCTTCAATGAATATGAGCCATTGGATTTGTCTTGAGCCCCAAGCAACAATCTCCACCTTTGATTTATTTGATTTTCAAAAGAAATTCAAAATCCAATTGCAAAAGCCTAGTCCAATGTAAAATGCCCACACAATGATTTTCAAATCAAAGTTTGAAGCCCAAGTCCATGTTCGGTCCACTGTAGCAGGTCCATGAGAGCTCCTTTGATTTTCCCATTTCATTTCCAAAACCGAAATGAGTAGCAAGCAATCAAGTCTCCATTTGATTTTCAAAATCAATTCTCTTCAGCCCATGTTCGGTCCATGACAATTCCATTTGATTTTTAACATTTGCAGCAAATAAAAACAAGCCGGCCTCATCCTCTGCCTAAGTCCAGTCTCCTTTTTGATTTTCCAAATCCGGCCCAATCAATTCCAAAGCATTCAAATTGACAAGCTGGTTAATGGAAACAAATCCGGCCCACTTGATTGATTTTCAAATGAATGCAGCAGTGATTTTGTTGTGAAAGTCCGGTCTTTGAGATCCCAATTTTTGCATCTAAGTCCAAATCAAATGAGAGTTCATGGATATTTGGGACATTTGGGCTTTTGGGCTTTTGGGCTTTTGGGCTTTTAAAATTCAAATATTTTCATTTGGCTTCTTGAATTTCTCTTATTCCTTCATTTACTCAAGGGCCTTTGTTGAGAGATGAGATTTTTGAGATTTATTCTTCATTACCCTGCAATTAAAGATAAAAGCAATTATTAGTGGTATATTTATTCATATAAAATAGATAATGAGGGTATAAAATTGTAATAAAATATGATTATCAGATTAGCATGCAGTAGTCAAGGAAATTCATTCATTGTTAGGGTTATGAATTATTGTCAAGGTTATTGATATGTTGTGAAGGTTATTGTTTAGTTGTTAAGGTTAAGGTTTACTTAATAAGGCTCAGAGTCTATTGTGAAGGTTACTGTTTACGGGTGTCTGTTAGTTGTTGAGGTTATTGTTAACATGTAAGGCTTATGTGTTGGCTTTCTTGTTTTGATGATGTTTAACAAATAATTTACGACTAATATTGTTTGTCTAGTGTTTGTGTTTATCTATTTCTTGTAGACAAACAATATATAGGAGTTTGGATGGATTGCGCTTCAACGATCAAATCCAATGGAGGTTGGCGAAATTGTGGAGTGAAGCCTATGCAATTTAAATTAAAGATCCAAGCTCTAGCTTCATCTACGAGTTTACCAAGTCAAGCTTATTGAAGATCAAGATCAAGCTTGGGTAACATTAGTTTAGATTTATATTATGTGTGTTGGTACTTTAAGCTCAATCATATATACACACACGTATTTGGTTTCTATGTATACATATAGTTACGTCCTTTAATACTCTCTCTTACATTAATAGTGCTACATTCTTTAATACTCTCTCTCTCTAACTCACTTCCCGATCTCTGTAAATCTCACATGAAGAACACTACAACGCATTGAATCTGGATTCACTGAAGTGATCTTCAATCCATATTCACTCCAACGAATTGAATCTGGATTCACTCCAATCGATTTGCTGCTCCACTGGATTTGTGAATCATTCTAACCATACAAGCAGAATAAGAAACTTATGGTAAGAAACAAGCTATAAAATTTTATAACATGAAAAATTTTCACCTTTTACAGCAAAAAGTTATGATTTTTATGGTAAAAAACAAACACCTCACATAATTGAATCTGGATTCACTGCAGTGAATCGAGATTCACTGAAGTGAATCTAGATTCACTCATGCGTTTATTGAAGTAAAAACAAGCTGGATTCACAGCAGTGAATCGAGATTCACTGCAGTGAATCGAGATTCACTGAAGTGAATCGAGATTCACTCATGCATTTATAGAACGTGTTTGATGATTTTAAGCAAAAATTTACAATTTTTATGGTAAAAACAAACACCTCACATAACTGAATCTGGATTCACTGTAGTGAATTCAATTATTTAGGACAGCAAAAATCGGGGATTCACTGCAGTGAATTCAATTATTTAGGACAGCAACTAAAACAAACCCCACAACTAAAATTCTGAACTTTAACCAATTTTAACAAAAAAACTAACAGGATTGCAATTTCTAAAATATTTTAATAGAAACCCTAAAAAAGATTGCAAATTTTGAAAGATAATCCAACAAAACAAACAACCAAGATCGAGTATAAGAGAAACCCCAAGCTAAAACAAATCCTAGAACCAAGATCGCAACTTCAACAATTACCCTAAAAAGAAACCAAAATCAAATTGAAATTAAAGAAAAACGTGACGAACCGAGGGGGTGCTCGAGCTTGAAGGAACTCTTGGCCATGGATCCCCTCTTTCTATCATCCCCAATACATGACGAGAACAAAACCATGATCAGATCAAAAGAAAATAACACCTACCAAGAATCAAATCAAACTTAGAATATAACCTACCAAGAAAATATAACACCTACCAAGAAAATAACACCTACCAAGAGAGAGGGGGCTGGTTCAAGCTTTTGGGAAATGAAGGAGAGAGAGAGAGGAGAACGTGAGAGGAGAGTTGCATGGGGAAATGGAGAACTCAATAAGAAGCATTAATTACCTCTCTTTAGTAGGCTGTTTATTTTACCTAATTACCCTTATGCAGCTTTAATCTCAGCCATTAGATGAATCTAGATCCAATGGAGAGGATTGGTTTTTAGTTTTTAGGATAGTGAGGTTTGTATTTGAACCTATATATATATATATATACATGCATGTTTTGGTTTCCAAGTTTATATAAATATGAAATTACATATTTCATACTCTATTATTGTGTTTTGGTTTAATTTCATAGATATGAAACAAATATATATTCATATACATCCTCATATGTTTCATACTCTATTATGTTTGAATTTATATTGCATAGAATATGCAACTTTGTGAAAATATTATTTTATTAGTTTTTGGACTTAACAATAATCATATACATCTTTTACTAAGTCTATATAATCATTTTGTAATGTTTCAAAACATGGTTAAGCTAAAATGTCAAAACTCATATGTTTACATTTTCATGTTTTGGACTATTTTGCAAAATGATGATATTTTTTATTTGGGAGCTCTCTTTTGAAAACCAATTTTTGTAGCATATGTATTATCATGTCTACAATCATTTCCTAAAGTTTTATATTTTTTTGAATTTATTTGCTATTTTTAAAGACAGTTTAAAAATCAGCATTTCATTTTCAAACCTG